CCTTGTCTCAGATGAGACTATAGACTTAGACTTTTTGGGTTAATGCTGAAATAAGACTTTGGGGATATGTTGGGAAGGCATAATTGGGTTTTGGAATGTGAGAAACATGTGATTTGGGAGTGACCAAAGGTGGAATAATAGGGTCTGGCTTTGCGTATCTACCCAAATTTGATCTTGAATTGTAATCTGAACTGTAATCCCTACATTTGGGGAGGGAATTCACGGGTGCTTATTAGATTGTGGGCATGGTTCCCCTATGCTGTTCTGGCATGATCTTGGCTCACTGCAACCTCCGCCTCCCGGATCCAAGTGATTTTCCTGCCTCAGCCTCCTGAGTAGCTGGGATTACAGCACCAGCCACCATACCTGGCTAATTTTTGTATTTTTAGTAGAGATGGGGTTTCACCATGTTGGCCAAGCTGGTCTCAAACTCCTGACCTTGTGACCCACCCAACTCAGCCTCTGAAAATGTTGGGATTACAGGCGTGAGACACCATACCCAGCCATCTCTTTCCTTTATAAATTACCCATTCTCAGGTATTTCTTCGCAGCAGTGTAAATACAAATGAATATATCTGGGTTTAGTTTCAGCTGACAAAACAAAGTGAAGTAACTTAGGGAAAGAATAAAATACTGTAAAAATAGAAAATGTTCAGGAGTTATTTGCAGTCTGATATCTCTGTTTCAGGAGGACCTGTTGGTTTGGGCCTTGTACAACAAAATGGTGATTACACAGCCCAGATGCTGTCTTAGTTCTAATTTCTAGCACTTTTAAACTTGCATTTTCCTCTTTTTGCTTCCTTTATCCTCTTTTCTCAATTTACATTATTTCCTTTGTTTTTTATGTCTCTTTCTTTTGTTCTCTTTCCATTTTATATGGACATGAAAATATAGGCAAGGATAAAACATACATGGTGTCTTGTTCTGATTAAATGATACAATGCCAAAAAATTAGAAAATAAAAACACAATTCAATAAAACAAATTAACATACAAATCTACCACGGAGAATTTATCTTCCCTAACTTCCAACTTTCTGGGTCTTTGGGTGTGAGATTGGGCCAAAAGTAGACAAATGTCTTCAACTTGTGAAAGGAATTTTTATTGTCCTACCAACTTGACAATGATATATCTAAGAAGATAAACCAGTTGAAGGTAGGCTAACCAGTGGATACGAGTTGTGCAGGAGACCAGAGAAAGGCCAAGGAAACACTTTGAACTCTTTCTCTTGCATCTCAGCACTATCTCTGATGCCAATCCACACACTCACAAACACACCACAGACACAAATGCATGTTTCTCCGTCAGGAGATGTAATATTGTTAAGCTGTCAACACTTCTGAGTATTGCACAAATTCAATGTCATCCTTATTAAAATTCCAATGTTACTTATTTGGCAGAGATATTTTATATAATTCTAAAATTCATGTGTAGTCTCAAGGGAACATGAATAGCCAACAGCTTTAGAAAAAAACAAAGAAACACCACATCTCATGATGTCAAAACAGATTCCAAAGCTACAAAAATAAAACCAATGTGGTAATGGCATAAAGAAAAAAACAAACACATGACAGAACAAAGAACCCAGAAATAAGCCTGTGCAAATATTATCAAATAATCTTTTACTAGGTTACTATGACCAAACAGTGAAGAAAAGGTCAGACTCGCCAACCAATGGTGTGAGAAAACTCAACGTCTAAATGAATGAAAAAAAAAAAAAGAAAGATAATGAACTTGGACCTTTCTCTTCAATGCAAACAAAACATTTTACATACACTAAACATAAAACTTAAAAAGACATAACTCTTGAACACTTAGAAGAAAATATAGGGAGAAGCTTAGTAACATTGGTTTTGGATGGCTTTTGGAGTATCACATTAAAAGCAGAAGCAATAAGATAATTAGAAAAGGTACTATATCAAACTTTCAAAACCTTCTGCACATCCACACATCAACGGAAACACTAAGTGGAGTACAAATGCCATTCACCATTTGACTTCTGAAACATCACCACCACCAAGGGTGAATAACTTTTTTTAAATGGACCAGTGTCTTCAAAGACATTTCCTAAAAGTAGTTATGCAAATGACCAAGAGGAATTTGAAAAGACAATCAAAATCACTTATGAGAAGAATGCAAAGTAAAATCTTGAAGTCTCACCCATTAGCAATGGCCACTATTCAACAAATAAAAAGTAATCAATGTTGTCAAGTATGTAGGATTTGGAACCTCTATGCACTGCTGGTGGAAAAGAATAATGCAGCCCTCAATAAAAGTAGGATGCAGGTTTTCCAAAATATTAAAAACGAACTGTGGCTCATGCCTGTAATTTCAACACTTTAGGAGGCTAAAGTGGGAGACTTACTTAGGCTCAGAATTTTGAGTTCAGCCTGGGCAACACAGTGAGACCCTATCTCTCGAAAAAATACAAAAATTAGCCAGGTATGCTGGCATGTGCCTGTAGTCCCAGCTACTTGGGTGACTGAGGTGGAAGGATCATTTGAGCCTGGGATGTCAAGGCTGCAGTGAGCCATTATTGCACCACTGCACTCTAGCCTGGGTGACAAAGTGAAACCCAATCTCAAAAAAAAAAAAAAAAAAAAAAAAGAAAGAAAGAAAGAAAAAGAAGAGAAAGAAAAGAGAAATTATACCATCCAGGTATACTTCTGGGAATCTATGTATGCAAAGCAGGACCTGGAATAGACATTTGCGTACACATTTTTAAGAGCATTTTCCAACCCTCCCCCCACAAGAAGGTGATAGCTACTTAAGTTTCTTGATAAATGGATAAAATATGGCATAAGTAGGCAATGGAATATGGCTGTACCTTCAAACAGCAAATTATGCCCATGCTACAATAAGCATAAAACTTTAAGACATCATATTCAGTGAAATATACCACAGACATAGTGACAAAGAGCATACATACCATTTATATGAGCTATCTTAAGTAAAATGATGTTTAGACGACATTCAGAATTATAAAGTACTCCTGTACAGATGGAATAAAAAGATGTGAATGCTTGGAGCAAAGTCATCTGCTACCTGGAGAACAGAACTTCCAGGCACCAGAGGACTGCAAGCACAGATGACAACAGTGACAGCAGCAAGGGCCCTGATCAGAGTAGTGGTGGTCTGAGGAGTACATCTGGCATGCACCAGTGTGCCAGAGGCTGGGGCCCACACTGGGGACTGGAGTTGCCCTCCATAATTCCAGAACCAGGTCCTGGTGTTTCACTCCATGTTCCACCAATGCCCCTGTGGTCAGTAAATGACTTATCTCAATTAAGTGATCTAAACATTGCATTGATAAGCTATAAATAACCTCAAACACTTCAGTTAAAAACAATTTACCACATTAAAAATTTCAACCTTCTAATCAGAATGTAGAAAGTCTATGAAATTACATGGCAAAAAGAGAACAGTGAGAAGACTGTAGCCATAACACAAAGAAGAAGGGCTGTGAGGCATACATAGCTGGGAATAAACACAGCTATCCCCAAACTGAAGATAATTAGAAAATAAAATCAGAGATACTCTTTAAATTCAGAATGAGTCAGTTTTGCAGCCTGGGAACAGATGTTCTCTCCAAATGCAGACTGCCATTTCTTCACTATATACATTTTCATTCTCTTACTTGGAGCTACAAACTCACTCCAGAAAGATTACTATTTATGGCTAATTATGGAGCATTTATTACACACCCAGTACTTTCTTATGTTTACTATATTTATCAAAACATCCCATGAATTATAAAGTTTTCCCAGTACTTACCTGAACAAATTGGCACAATAAACTCATTTATGTCAATTATAAATAGTGAAAGGCATAATTAAACAGCTCATATAGGGTTATCCAATTAAAGCAACAAAATGAAATGTTCTAACTAAAATATAACTTAATACATAAATTGTGAACTTGCATCTAAAAATTTTGTGTGCACTACTAAATTTTATAAAACTGTAATTTCTGACCAGCTCACATAATACTTCATAAAAATAAAAAATATGTAAGAAAGAAGTCAATTATAGCTTCTAGCATGAGTAACAGACAAATAACAGAATTTGCATGGGGACAGTCTCAACAATGGTCCATTAAATTTTACAGTAATACAATATAGATCTGATTTCAGAATGTTTTAGGTTTCTAGATTCCTAGTAAATTATCCACCTTATTAAAATAATCTTCGTTCCAATATTGCAATTTTCTTTGGAAAATAGATACAAACTCTCAAACACAACTGCTTGTCCCATAATTTTCTTACACCTAAATTTTATCTTTAGAGCAATACATTTACATATTTAACTCCATGTCAATCAAAACTAAAGTCTGTATTTATTTGCAGAAAGAGATACTGCATGTTCAAAGATAAATATGGAACTTTTTAAAAAGCATTAATGACTTATAAATGTGTGAATTATAATTATACTTATATAGTTATTATAATCATAAAACGACCTGTAGTAAAAAAAAAATTGTACATTTAGAAATAATTAAAGTGGCCGGGTGCGATGGCTCACGCCTGTAATCCTAGCACTTTGGGAGGCCAAGGTGGGCAAATCATGAGGTCAGGAGTTTGAGAACATCCTGGCCAGCATTGTGAAACCTCATCTCTACTAAAAATAAAAAAATTAGCTAGGCATGGTGGCACGTGCCTGTAGTCACAGCTACTCATGAGGCTGAGGCAGGAGAATTGCTTGAACCTGGCAGATGGAGGTTGCGGTGAGCCAAGATTGCACCATTGCACTCTAGCCTGGGTGACAGAGCAAGACTCTGTCTCAAAATAAAATAAAATAAAATAAAATAAAATCTAAATAAAGTATATTTACTGGACTGTGTGTAATAAAAAGAATGCTTGTGATGAACTCATTTACTCTGATATGATAATTACATGTCATATGCCTGTATCAAAATAACCCAAATAAGCCATAAATATATACACATACTATGTACCTACAGAAATTTTTAAAAATTTAAAATAAGAAAAATAATAAAAGTTTATATGGGAACAATATTCTTCAATTTATTTGCTGTTTAAAGACACTAGAAGAGAGAACTAGAAATGTCATTCAACTATGTTCCTCGCCAGTATGAATTCGCTTGTGTACAGTAAGGGTTGAGGGCCGATGAAAAGCTTTGCCACATTGTTCACATTTGTAGAATTTCTCTCCAGTATGAATTATCTTATGTTTAGTAAGGGATGAAGACCAATTGAAGGCTTTGCCACATTCTTCACATGTGAAGGGTTTCTCTCCGGTATGAATTCTCCTATGTTTAGTAAGGGTTGAGGATAAGTTATAGGCTTTGCCACATTCTTTACATTTGTAGGGTTTCTCTCCAGAATGAATCTTCTTGTGTTCATTCAGGGCTGTGGACCGAGTAAAGGCTTTGCCGCATTCTTCGCATTTGTAAAGCTTTTGTTCAGAATGAATGCTCCTGTGTATAATAAGGCCTGAGGACTGGTTAAAAGCTTTGCCACATTCTTTACATTTGTAGGGTTTCTCTCCAGTATGAATATTCTTATGTTCATTCAGGCTTGCGGACCATATGAAAGCTTTCCCACATTCTTCACATTTGTAGGGTTTCTCACCAGTATGAATTTTCTTATGTTCATTCAGTGTTGTGGACCGTGTAAAGGCTTTGCCACATTCTTCACATTTGTAAGGTTTTTGTCCAGAATGAATTCTCTTGTGTAATATAAGGGTCGAGGATTGGTTGAAAGCTTTGCCACATTCTTCACATGGGTAGGGTTTCTCTCCAGTATGAATTCTCTTATGTTTAGCAAGGTGTGAGGACCGATAAAAGGCTTTGCCACATTCTTCACATGTGTAGGGTTTCT